TAAACTGTTTCCTTTGGCCGTAACCATGTCACCGGTCTTCTGCCACGTCCGCTGTTGAATCTGACTCAACAGCATGACACTGTTTGGAGTGCACATTTGTTGCATACCGTCGTAGATTTTTATTTTATTTTATTTTATTTATTTATTTATTTATTTATTTATTTATTTGCAGACAACTGTTTTGATATTAAGATAACATGGACTGAGGCCGGGGACCCCACAATTCAACCCGGATTGGTGGAAGACAGGTCCAGCATCTTATCATTGGTGGAAAACAGGTCCAGCGTCCTATCTTTGGAATCAGACTGGAAAGCAGGTCAAGTGTCCTCAGAGAGTCAGAAGAAGAGAAAGAAACAGGCTGGAAACCAAGTCCAGCGTCTTTTCCAGAAAGACACTTCTTGAATCTAGTAGTTCTAGCAACTCTGCATATGAAAGGAAGTACTAAGCCTATTTACAGATTCTGAAACAGAGAGTACCCCTTTAAGTTAAGCCTATTTACAGAAAGAGAGAGTACTACCCCTCTTGACAGTCTATTGACTATAATCCCTGTACTAGCCTTAATCCAAGGTTGTTGTTTCCGTCTGTCGCAGAGGCTAGGAAAGCTTGTCTATTGACTATCGTGGTAGATTTCTGGTATCCAGCTCTGTTGTCCTCTTTGGCGGATTCTGGCGCCCGTCTGACGACTTGGCGCACGGCCTCCGCCTCCCTTCCCCCTGCCTCGCCCGACTGCCTCCCCCTAGTGGTCTATGCGGCGCCCTTCTATAGACAGATTTCTCGAAGAGTAGTCTATGAGTCCGCTGTTCTCGGCGAGCCCTCGGCACGGCCTCTCCCCAGCACACCTATAGGCCCAGCGCAGGCGAGAAGGAAACAGGGCACAGTCCTACTCCCAAAAAAAACAGCACACCTATAGGCCAAGCGCAGGCGAGAAGGAAACAGGGCACAGTCCCACTCCCAAAAACCCTGTGGGATGCAGCACTTGAGCCGAGACGTGTTCACCCCGGCAGGTGCAGAAAATCGCTCAGCCTGCTTTTTTCTTTTGCCTCTCTGCACATGGTGCCGTGCACTTGTCAGCGACCGCGTCCAGATTCAAGTGCTGACTCAGAGCTTGCTAGTGGAACTGCGGCCCCGGCTCCACCGGTGCCCGCAGGCCGTGGCAAGGCGAGCCGTCCGAACCTGTGAACGTGCAGCCCCAAACCATTTGGAAACACGGAAAAGAAAAAACAAGCAGGTGAAAACCCTATCCAGAGCCCTAGCTTAATTGGTTCGGCATGCAAGTGGCATTCAGGAGGTGGTAGGCTTAATCCCCACGGCTGCCAACCAGCTGAAATAGTCCTCCCAGTCCGTATTAGTACGGTCTTCAGCCAACACGGGTGGGTGTGCGCATGTGAGTGGGTTGTGTGTGGTGTGTGAGAGAGCATTGGCCTTAGACACTACTGTTTTTTTTTTATTTTTTTTTTTACTGTTACTCGAAGATGAAAAAGGGAGGACAATGTTTATGTGACTGGCAAATGCTGAGTCACTGGGAAATGGGCCTAGTGTCCCATTGTTCTATACTAGGCCCAGGGCCCTACTTTCTGCAGGTGGAAAACCGGGCCCAGTGTACAGTGGTATCAAGTCAGACTATGTGTCCATGTAGAAGTCAGGTCGTTGAACCGCCAGTACACAGCCCCAGCCTTGCTGAAAATGTTTTGTCACCTGGCGTCGCGTTTTGGCCTCTGTCTGACAGGGGCCCCCAGCGGCCAATGTGAGGCCTGTACTGTTGGTTTAAGTCAGTCGTCTTCTGTTGTGGACAGTGTACACTTGGCCAGGCCGCTGGGTCCCGCCGTCTGCCGCTGTTGCCTGTTGTTCCGTAGGATCTGCGACGGCCTTCAGATGTCATCTTTGATTTTTTTTTTTTTTTTTTTTTTTTTTTTTTCAATCTTTGAAGCCTGAACTGTCTGACTGGCCCCAGGAAAATTCAGAGGTATTTTAACTCATCTGATTCCTGGACCACCTGAATTGGACTCTGGTTAAACCACCAGTACTTGGCCCAGCTATCGGCCGCGGAAAAAGAAGAGTAGAAACGTTTCTAGTCGGATGAATTTGGGCGCTCCTGTAGTAGCCCGTACGTGTCCTAAAATTGTGGCGTGTTAACGGGCACGACTCTAGGAAGTACTGGTGGTTTAAATCCACAGCCCAGAGGAGTTCTCCATGCCTATTTGCATGTTAGTAGGTTGGTCTAATATTCAAAATTACAAAACAATAGAGAAATTCAATATAACAGTTTAAATTTGTAGTTTCGAAGCACTAAAGGAAGCACTAAATGAAGCCGACGAACAGCTTCCTTCCCATAAACAAGGCTAAGATTTTGAGGGGCGAGCCGCAGGCCAGGAAACTATCTCCTCCTTCTTCTTCTTCTTCTTCTCCTCCTCCTCCTGCTTCTGCTTCTTCTCCTTCTCCTTCTTCTGCTTCAGAATCTTCTCCTTCTTCTGCTGCTTCTTCTGCTGCTGCAGCTGAAGTTGACTCGTTGGCTATTGTTTCATTCTTCGTTCTGTGAATTCATCACGAAGAGAAGAAACTGCACAAATTTCAGAGGAATGACTTCAAGTTGGCGAACCAGAAAAAAAAGGGGTCTGTGGCAGAAGTACAGGGAAATGTGGCTGACGTGCAGAGACTCCGGCTGGTATTCGAAGACTGGATGAGCTGTTCATCCCCAATAACCTGTCTCCTCCTCCTGAAAACTCCCTGGTAGAATTGTCCTGGGGCGTGGTCCCACAAGCCAAGAGGATCGGATCCAATGCCTGCATCTGGACGTGTTGCTGGAGAGGTGCAGGAAATCCAGATTGAACTGCTTTTCTGCATCTCTGCCTAAAACACATCCAGATTCAGGCATTCGATCCGATCCTCTTTGTTGGTGGGACCTCGCCCCTTGTTTGGACGCAAACAGTACTAGACTTACGATAGCTTGGTAGAAATAAATAGCTTGGTCAATATGGATTGGAAATCTGACAATCTGTGGGTGTACCAAGTGAGAATCCAGATATGATCTCCATGAAGAGACCGGAACCTGTGTTATTTGTTAAAAAACCAAAAAAAAAACAAAAAAAAAACAGACACAATCAGATCCCCAGACTAACATAGGCTCGAAGGAGAGTACCGCTTCATGAGCGGGGAGCATGGCATGTTATTAAAAAAAAAATAAAAAAAAAAACAAAAAAACAGACACAATCAGATCCCCAGACTAACATAGGCTCAAAGGAGAGTACCGCTTCATGAGCGGGGGTAGGCATAGCATGACCCCCACTGCTCCATTGCACCGTCCCACACACAGGTCTTAAATTGCCCACGGGCTCCACGGGAATTTCCACAGGCTCACTTGAGTACGCATAGAATCGAACCGGCATCCTTCGCCACAAGAACCAAGTCTCCCGACCACTTCAACCAGGACACGGTGTTTAGCACTGGAACCATACCGGTCATGATATCCAGCCCGCCTGCTCTCGAACATTCTTGTGGATGCTTGTTTGTAATATGAGGGACGCTGGACCCGGTTTCCAGACCAGGTGCAGCTCCCCACCAATAGATGGAGCAGGCAGGGACAACTCTACTAGAGGCGGCTGCTCTTATCTAGTAGTGGTTGCTGGATTTCTTTGAAAAAAAAAAAAAAAAAAAAAAAAAAAAAATCCCCCCCCCCCCCCCAAACGCAAACAATACTCCAACACGCCGAACACACACAAAAAAAAAAAAAAAAAAAAAAAAAAAAAAAAACAAGGGGTAACTTCAGTAGAGTCACAAAAACCAGTTATAATTGCAGTATGGGCCAAGCAAGATACAGTTTGCAATTGCACTCGGGCACCCTCCCTGGCCAGAAAGCTGGGTTGTATACATTGCCCGAACTGCAATTTGAAACTGTATAACTCATTTTTGTGACTCGGGCGTAGTTTCCCCAAAAAAGGAAAAAAAAAACCAGCGTGGGAGTGTATATTTCCATGTTCTAGCGGTAGATTCATTTGATTTTGCTCATCCAGGGTAAGTTCTAATAGCCGCCAGCATCAATCCTGCAGTGTGTGTGTGTGTGTGTGTGTGTGTGTGTGTGCGTGTTCTCTACGATTTCCCCCCCCCCTTTTTTTTGGGTGCAATATACGTTGATTTTGTATCTTACCATGCGGTTCCTTCTTTTTTTTTGTACTATAAAAAAGTAAGCTTCATTCTTCTCTCAATTTCACCTCAGACTACCTTTTTTTTTTTTTTTTTTTCTTCTTCGAAAAACAGCTCCATCTATTGGTGCGGAGCATCACCTGCTGGAAACCGGGTCCAGCGTCCCTTGAATACATCTTTACAATCTAAGACTTTCCATTTAAAAAGAAGACGCCACTATGCTGGAAAACGGGTCCAGCGTCCCATATTAAAACTATAACCCCCTTCCTAGCATGTGGCCAGGTCCGGTAAAGGGTGGAAGGCCACTGGGGGGCACCAGTGGAGTTTCCCTCCTTCACCTCAGACTACCTACCTACCACTTCTCCTAATTCTAGTCATACGGGGTAGTACCGTACCCCGTAGCAGTCAGAACTGTGTTCACGAGAGAACATGCGGGGGCTACAATCTGAATAAAGAAAATATGAAACTGAAAGAAATGGCCTATACTTTTCTTGAAGAGGGAACAGGAAATGATGTCATCTTTTAAAACAGCAGTACCTTTGGGGGTCGGGGTATTCGGCCACAACTTTTGGGGGTCCAGTACCAGTCCAAAATGACTGGTGGCACCAGCCAAAATGAGGCCCCCTTTTTTTTTTGGTGCGCAGGGCATTTTCAGCCTTGGCTTTGGTGGTTTCAAGTCATTTGCAATGTTTTCATGTTAAATTATTGAGCTAGATGGTTGCGCAAATGTTTTTGAACTCTCTCTCTCTCTCTCTCTCTCTCTCTCTCTCTCTCTCTCTCTCTCTCTCTCTCTCTCTCTCTAACTCTCTCTCTCTCTAACTCTCTCTCTCTCTTCTGCGCACGTGCGTGTTTTGAATGTGCAGATGTTTGTCTGCAACTCCTCGACCCAGTCCTGGGAGAATGCCCGACAATATGCTGTAGATGTGGAGAACGGGATGATACACGTGGCAGCTACCGAGGGGACAAAAGCCCTTCTGCATTCGATCGATTACAATGGTGAGTTTCACATGAATCAATGCTTTTCAAGTTTATGTAGCTCAGTGGTTAGAGCACCGGTTGGAGATGCACATTGTGGTATGAGGTTGCGGGTTCAAATCCGCAGCCTCACGCATGGACACCGGCAGGGCATTAGAATGACGCACGGCTGGACACACACTCCGTGGGCTGACGCATGGTAAGCTAGTACAGACACTGCCTGCGCACCACCCAGGGGACTGTCCATGGTGTTGTATGTTGGGTCCTGGCCTATGAGGGGTTTGCCTGACTGTTGGCAGTCTAATGAGGATGGAGGTACGGGTTTGTGGTTAGACTGCTCATGTGTGCTGGTTACCTTAGGTTCTGCTTTGAGGGGGGCAAGGAGCTGAAGTGGGATGGGGTCCCGTTTGGGGTGAGGGTTGGCTTGGGACAAGCTCTGCTGGAGGATATTGGTGGGGAACCTACAGTGGGGGATTGTCTGAAGGGATCCCGGTAGGAGGGGTGTTAGTGGACAGACTCTGATGGAGGAAATCGTTGGGGAACCTGCAGTAGGGGATGTCAGAGGGGGATCCTCCAAGATAAGATGGTCTGGGTCCCATAAATTAGTTGCTGACTGTAGATAGGTACCTGTCGTGGGTCCAGAAACCGACCTCTACAACACCCTGGACTTTTGATTTTTAAATTTTTTTTTTTGAAGGGGGTGCCACTTAACATTATTTGATCCATCTGGTTACATCCCCTGGGGCGAGGTCCCATTAGCAGTCGGATAGAAGTGTGGCCGATCCAGTGTGACACTGAGTGGCAGCGGGCTGACAGGTCCATTACGAAATTCTAGTTCAGTTGATGTAGCTCAGTGGTTAGAGCACCGGTTGGAAATGCACATTGTGGTATGAGGTTGCGGGTTCAAAACTCCACAGCCTTGTGCATGGACACCGGCAGGACGTTAGAATGACGCACGGCAATGGGATGACGCAGGCAAGTTATTACAGACACTGCCTGCGCACCACCGAAGGGGTAGTCCATGGTTGTTGTATGTGGGGACTGGGCGATGGTGGGTATCCTGATGTTCTTGGTCTACGGGGTTGTCATGAGACTGCTGGGTGGCTCGCATAGTCCGGTTTACTCGAGCCCAGCAGAGCACAGCTACAGACTATTTCACAGTGTAGGTTAATAGGTAAGCGCACTTGCACGATTCACAAAAGGTCCGGTGTTTGATACCAGACTGTAACTTACGTGGTCAAATGATTGAGGCTGGCATAGCAGTTCCTTAGTACGGGATGTCGCGAGTGTCAGGAGATGGTGCACTTAAACTCCAGGGACATACGAGGGAACAGAGGATTGTCTGCTCTCAGATTACCATACAACACAGGGCTAAGAGATGATCCAGGGTCAATACATACAGTCCATGATTCACGATTGAGGGTGGGCTATCCTCCTAGTACCTACCTTTGAGTTGAGGCTGGCATAGCAGTCCTTAGTACCAATGTCGGGGGTGTCAGGAGATACTGCACCTTACCGCGGGGCCGGAACGGGCTCCAGGGATATATGAGGGAACAGAGGATCCCCATCTCTCTACCATCAACACCATAGTACACTGTAGTAAAAAGACAACATAAGGATAAAGAAACTCAGTCCATAACTCATGACCTAGGGGTGGCTATCCTCCTAGTACGTAGCATAGGGTTGAGGCTGGCATAGCAGTTCCTTAGTACGGGATGTCGGGGGTGTCAGGAGATACTGCACCTTACCGCGGGGCCATAACGGGCTCCAGGGACATACGAGGGAACGGATGATCCCCAGCTCTCTGCCATCAAAACACAATAGTAGTAATACAACGTAACACTGTGCACCCTCATGAAGACATGTAGTAGCATGTTCATACCTAGCTCTTGAAGTTCCCGTGCAATCGGGCTTGCGCTACGTCTGCTTCAACCAGGGCTGAGCAGGGGGTTAGGTCTCTCTGCCTAGCCTGGGTGACTGCAACCGCTGTCAGGTCAGGTCACCCTGCCAATATGGCAATGGGTGATGGTCCTGGGTGCGCCAGGCAAAAATGATAAGTGGAAGGGTGGGTGGGGTCTTCAGAGGGATTCAGCTGGACAACCAAGTGGCCGAGTACTGTGGATAACTGTCATTGGTCTAGGGTCCCACCTCTACAACAACCTGGGCAAAAAAAAAAGAAAAAAAAAGGCCTTTCACTCATTTCTGCTCTTCTTTCGTTTCTTTTTTACCTTAAACCACCAGTACTTCCTAGAGTCGTGCCCGTTAACACGCCAAAATTTTAGGAAACTTACGGGCCACCACAGGAGCGCCCAAATTCATCCGACTAGAAACGTTTCTACTCGTTTTTTTTTCCTGCGGCCGATAGCTGGGCCAAGTACGGGTGGTTTGAAAAAAAGAATGAAAAGACCTGTCATTTCTCCCAGGACAAGTTCCCACTTACCGCGACTCTGCTCTGACCGTCGATCTGCTTCATCGACGATTGAAAGGAGAGAATTTGGCAATGCGGGACATCACGTGACCCTGTGCTTAGGATGTGTCAGAGTTGGTGAGTAGAAAGACGAAAAGAGGAAAAAAAAGAGTCAGAGGGTGTGAGAAGGCCCTTCTATTTGTTGCCCAACACTCTAGCTCAATCCAGCAGCCTATCTCAGGCGGTTGGGCATGTAAGTGGTATTCAAGTGGTCGTGGGTTCAAGTCCCATAACTGCCTGTAGCACACCAATCAATTGTGACATGGGCGCTCGGTTTTGGGGTTTCGTTAGGGATCGATTTGCTCTGCGTAGATTGAGTGAACGCAGAAACCCTCGGACTTTCGGCGATCATGTTTTTCACTTTGATTTTCTGTTACTCATGTCGGCCTTTTCTCAATTCTGATATCTCCAGCTGTTTTCACAAACAGCCGTCTTCAACTTACAGGACATTCCGCTACTGACCCTAAGTGGGTTGTGTGTGTTGTGGGGGAGAGTGTTGGCCTGCTGCTATTTGATGGGGGGTGCGGGACGATGAAAAGGACAGGCGCGGCTACTGGCCAAATGCTCAGTCTTTGCGTTATCCAGACCCCCATCAGCGGGCCCGACCCCATCTCTCAGGCTGACTACCCCTGCTGGGGCAGGGGACAACATGAATCCCTCTAAGTTTGTGAGGCACCTATGCTTGCAAGGGTCCCCTCCACTGGCCAAATGCTCAGTCTTTTGCGTTATCCAGACCCCCATCAGCGGGCCCCACCCCATCTCTGACTATCCCTGCTGGGGTGGGGGTCAATCCCTCTAAGTTTTTGAGGCACCTATGCTTGCAAGGGTCCCCTCTATATATAGCCTTAGGAGTAGTGGTAGGTAGGTAGTGAAAGACCAAAAGGATCTGAGAGCAGAATATAGTGTTATAGAGACTTTCTTTTATTTTTTTAATTAAGACCAGATCTTAAACTGATCAGAATAGAAACAACACTTGATCTTAGCCAAAAGGATGTGAAGGTTTTKTTCTTTTTTTTTTTTTTTTTTTTTTTTTTTAAACCGGTCCCTGTGCCCAAGGCTGATATTTCCAATATAAGAATTGAGGCCGGGGTCCTCACAGTCTACCCGGAGTAACAGAACACAATTTGCTGAGGACCAAAACAGAACCTGCTGAGAACCGGGCTCAGCGTCCCATCTCCTATAAAAATTGTGAAAACTGTGAGAAACAGAACATGCTGAGAACCTGGCTCAGCATCTCAATCCCTATGAAACCTGTGAAAACTATGAGATACCTCTACTTATATCTTAAACCCGCTATGCTGCTCCCTTTATGCTTGTAAAGGTGCTACTCTAGTCTTGAGGATATAGATACCTCTTCAGCTATAAAATCTGACCGCCAAATAAGAGTGATTTATCTAGCATCCATCTCCATAGATCCCCCACTTATCATCTGCCCTTCCTCTCCCCCCCCAAACCACTCAAGATCCACCAAAGCAAGTGTAGAGGGAGGGAACAGTTCAGAAAAATACTCAGGTGATCTCAATGATCAAACTGATAGAATGTTGAGAGGGGGCCCAACTCTTTTTTCTCATTTTTGTGACTACCACGTAGTTTCCCCATTTTCTTTTTTTATTTTTGTTTTTTAACAGAACTTCATGTGCAGGGGTTTCTGCTTACTGGTAGTGAGGTGATAAGATCATCCTCGCTAATCAGGACTCTGCTTGTGAAGGCTCCAACTATTGGTAGGCAGCAGCACCCGAGAGGAGGCCCACCGCCAACAGTAGCCGTTTGGGGGCGTTGGGGGACTAGGCATACGTTCCTCGAGCGCGCAAGACCGCATGATGCCGGTTGAAAATGACGACGCCACCCGATGGAGGCCCACCGCCAACAGTAGCCGTTGGGGGACGTTGGGGGACTACGCAGATGTTGGAGGGTGGGGATGTCCGTACTAACGCCACTGGACCACCCAAGAACCAAAACTCTCCGTCGACGCATGTCTTCGCCACTCCGTGAATCACGGTTCCTTGAGCTCCAAGGGACCTCACGAGGTCCCTTGGAGATAAGGAAATTTTGGCTGGGCCCACAAGGATGCCACAAGGAATTTAAAATTTTCCTTGTGGTGTTTTCACATTTCGTTTTCGATTTCGTCCCCATGTTCCCCCCGTCCTGCGTTTGATCCACCACCTCGGTGTCGCTCGTGGAACGACGCCGCAACCCAACGTGTAGCACAGCTCAATGACAGCCTCCGAAGTTGCCACGTAGTCGGGGCCGTCATCTGCAGCTTGCATCAGCGTACTTCTTCTACGCGCACGCAACTGCTCCTTCATTCGTCCCAGCGCCCTCTCCTGCTGACAACGAAGAATAACGGTTGACAAGGCCGCCACCACGGCTGCCTGCTCAAGCGGTGTCAACAGCGCACGTCCGCCCTCTCCGCCGCAATCCATCGCCACCACCTCCACAGGGATAACGTCTCTCCGCTGCCGTCTCAATCCTCGCACCCCAGAGACGTAACCCGCTCACCCCCCGAGGAGAGGCCCGAGAAGTTGTCGCCTTTCGATGGATGTCGTCCCCCTGG